TTTTCTTTCTGCTCTTTTTGACGGTCTTAGACATTTGCTGCTGCTGCTGCTGCTGCTGTTGCTGCTGCTGCTGTTGCTGCTGCTGCTGCTCTGTTGCTGCTGCTGCTGCTGCTGCTGGTGCTGCTGGGGATTCGTGGTTGCTGCTGGTGCTGCTCTTTGCTGCTGCTGCTTCTTGCTGCTGCATCTTGCTGTTGCTGCTGCTGCAACCTCTAATACTAATACTACTCCTGCTACTAACACTGCTGCTGCTGCTGCTGCTGCTGCTGCTGCTGCTGCTGCTGCAGCTGGAGGCGGTGGTGACGTTGGGGGGGAGGGATTTGCGGCTGAGTTGGGGACGGCGTCAAGTCTTCGATTTGTCGGTGGCGCAGACCTTTCTAGCTATTGTAAGTTTTTTTATTTTTTATTTTTTTATTTATTTTTTTATTTTTTTATTTTATTTGTTTTATTTATTTTATTTGTTTATTTATTTATTTTATTTGTTTTATTTGTTTTATTTGTTTATTTATTTATTTTATTTGTATAAGAACGGCTACCAATGCCACACATATATAAATACACAAACAAACAAACAAACAACCAAACAAACACACAAACATAAATATAAACAAATAAATAAATATAAATATAAATATATATATATATATATATATATATACATATGTATACAGGTATCCTCTTCTCGCACAGCAACAGTAGTTGCATGCAAAGAAGGAGAAGAGGGGCTACCAATGCCTCACATATATAAATACACAAACAAACAACCAACCAACCAAACAAACACACAAACATAAATATAAAATAAATAAATAAATATATATATATATATATTTGTGTATACAGGTTTCTTCTTCTCGCACAGCAACAGTAGTTGCATGCAAAGAAGGAGAAGAGCGGCTACCAATGCCTCGCCCATTAAATACAGTTGAACTTCTTAAGGCTGCTTCGAGCAGACTGGGGATGGGGCCCCATCACGCTATGCAGGTATTTTATTTTATTTTATTTTATTTTATTTTATTTTATTTTATTTTATTTTATTTTATTTTATTTTATTTTTGTATGGTTCTGCTGCTGTTGCTGTTGCTGCTGCTGCTGCTATTGCTGCTGCTGCTGCTATTGCTGCTGCTGCTACTATTATTATCACTATAATTCCTATTACTGTTTCTGCTGCTGCTGTTCCTGCTGCATTGCTGCTGCTCTTCCTTCTGCTGCTGCTGCTGCTGCTGCTGCTGCTGCTGCTGCTGCTGCTGCTGCTTTGCTGCTGCTGCTGCTGCTGCTGCTGCTGCTGCTGCATAGGTAGCTGAGCGTTTGTATCTGGGGGGGTTTATAACATACCCCAGAACAGAAACAACAGCCTACCCGGCCTCCTTTGATGCTCATGGGGCTGTTGCTGCGCATGCAAATCACCCCCAATGGGGTCACCATGCTAGAGATATTTTACAAGTTAGTTTTTTATTTTTTTTGTTTTTTATTTTTATTTTTTTTTTTTATATTTATATATTTAATTTGTTTAGTTTGGGGCTGTTGCTGCGCATGCAAACCATCCACAGTGGGGCCATCATGCTAGAGATATTCTACAAGTTAGTTTTTTTTATTTATTTTTATTTTTTTATTTTTTATTTTTTATTTATATTTATATTATTTTATTGTTTTTATTATATAAAGGTTATCGTGGGGCTGTTGCTGCGCATGCAAACCACCCCCAATGGGGTCACCATGCTGGAGATATTTTACTAGTTAGTTATGTTTTTATATTTTTATTTTTATATTTATTTTTATTTGTTTTGTTTATGTTTATATTTATATTTATATTTTATATTTATATTTATTAGTTTTATTTATGTTTATATTTATATTTATATTTATATTTATATTTATATATTTATATTTATATTTATATTTATATTTATATTTATATTTATATTTATATTTATATTTATATTTATATTCTGTATTTATATTTATATTTATATTTATATTTATATTTATATTTATATTTATATTTATATTTATATTTATATTTCTATAGTAATAGTAATTATAGTTATTGTTAATACATAAATATATTTGTATGAATATAATTTTTATTTTTATTATTTTTATTATAATATAAAAATAATATAATAAAAATAATATAATAAAAATAATATAATATAATAATATAATAAATATAATAATATTAATATAATATATTTATAATAAAAATAAATATATTGATAGAGAAGTATCAATGAAACAGCCGCTAATGTTGCTTTTATATGTGCTGCTGCTGCTGCTGTTGCTGCTGCTGCTGCTGCTGTTTCTGCTGCTACTTTCTCTCTTGCTGCTGCTTCTGTGCTCCTTCTGCTGCTGCTCCCTCTCCTGCTGCTGCTCCCCCTGCTGCTGCTGCTGCTGCTGCTGCTGCTGCTGCTGCTGCATAGAGGGGTTTATCTACGCCGCGTGGGGGGGAGGATGCGGGGGACCACCCCCCCATAACGCCAGTGAGAGCAGCAGCAGCAGAAGAGATTGGTGGGGGAGACAGTTGGTGTTTATATGAGTTAATATGTTTATATTTTTTATCGAGTTTAGCTGGTTGTTGTATATTAAAAAAAAAACAAATTACTTTTTCTATAGATACAGAAATATTTACACATACAAATACTATTTGTATACAAAAAGGATATACATCTATATTATCTAATTCTTTTATTAATGATGTTGATTTACCCCCCATCAATAAAGGAGATAAACTCGCCGT